GCTGCTGCTGCTGCTGGCGCTAACCACCACCGGAGCCGCTCCGCTGCGAAGCACCACCCCGACCAGCTCCACCTCCTCCACCACCGCCGCCTCCACCTCCGCCACCACCGCTGCCTCCGCTCCCACCGCTATCGCCTCCGCCGACTCCGCCTCCGCTGCTGCCACCGCCACCTCCACCCCCGCCGCCACTCCCACCGCCACCCCCACTCCCTCCGCCGCCTCCACCGCCACCTCCAGCACCCCCGCTAGCTCCACCCGCGCCCTTGCCCCCCTTGCCCTTGCCAGAGCGACGTCTCCCGCTAGGGGCAGACGCCGCACCGACCGACTCAAGACCAACGAGGTCGGCCGCAGCAGCAGAGGCGACAGAGGGCAACAGGGGGGAAGGGGAACACCCCTCAAAGATGGGGGTGCGAGGGTCACCACGAGAGGCTCCTACAGCGACTATGCTCTTTTCCGCTGCTAGGAGGGCCTTCTCAAGGAGGTCAATAGTGAGAGTGGTGGGACAGACTGAGAGGAAGTGGTCCCTGACTACGCGAAGGGAGTCAGGGAGGCGGGTGACTAAATAATAGAGAGTGATGTACATGGGGGGGGGGGTTCTTGGCGCAGAACTCAGCAAGAAGCGCGGCGCGGTAGCGAGTGTCACTAGTGCGGAGGTTCGTAATGAGGTCAGCGACTGTGGGAAAGGCAGCAAGGTCAGGGAAGAGGTACGGTAGCATGAGGCGGCTCAGTGCAGCAGTGGCAGGGGAAGAGTAGCGCGCAACTACAGCGTCGTACAAGGTCTGAGCACTCTTGTATTGACTAAAGTGCGCGCGCTCAGTGGTAGGAAGGTGGCGACGCACAGCAAGACGTGCAGCAGCATCGCGCGTGGCCCACGGGGAGCGAACAGTAGGGTCAGCATCAGCAGCAGGGGCAGGAGAGGCGCCAGAGGTGAGGTCAAAGAGAGAGAGACTGTCTGCCCTATCGCACTGTAAGAACAGCTGCAGATCGTCGACCCAGACCTCAAAGTCAATGGCTCGACCCTCAGCGTCAAAAGCGAGGACACTAGGGGTAGCCATGACAACAGTAGACCAGCAGTGCAAGTAGTAGGGGGAGGGCAGTGCAGTGACAGAGGGGCTGTGCTCACCGGACAGGGCTGCTCGGGCGGCTCAGCGGTATGGCGGCTCGGCAGCTCGGCGGCTCGGCTGCACGGCGGCTGGGCGGCTCGGCTGCAGGGCGACCGGGCGGCTCGGCGGCTCGGCTGCTGTGCTGCTGGGCGGCTCGGTTGTGCTGCTGCAGGGCGGCGCGGCGGTCGGCGGCTCGGCTGGCAGGGGCGGCTCGGGCGGCTCGGGTGGTGGGCGGCGCTGCAGTAGTTGAAGGCGGCGGGGAGGCAATTGAAGGCGGCGGGGCCGCAAGTGAGAGCGGCGGGCCGCAGGCGAGGGTGGGGACGGGCCGCAACTGAAGGCGGCGGGGCCGCAGGTGAGGGCGGCGGGGCTGCAACTGGGGGCGGCGGGGCCGCAGGTGAGGGCGGCGGGGCCACAACTGAGGGCGGCGGGGCCGCAGGTGAAGGCGGCGGGGCCGCAACGGAGGGTGGCGGGGCCGCAGGTGAGGGCGGCGGGGCCGCAAATGAGGGCGGCGAGGCCGCAGGTGAGGGCGGCGACGGGGCCGCAGCTGAGGGCGGCGTTGGGGCCGCTGGGGAGAGCGGCGACGGGCCGCAGGTGAGGGCGGGGACGGGGCCGCAGCTGAGGGCGGCGACGGGCCGCAGGTGAGAGCGGCGACGGGGCCGCAGCTGAGGGCATCGACGGGGCCGCAGCTGAGGGCGTCGGGGCCGCAACAGAGGGCAGCGGGGCCGCAAGTGAGGGCGGCGGGGCCGCAATTGAGGGCGGCGACGGGCCGCAGGTGAGGGCGGCGACGGGGCCGCAGGTGAGGGCGGCGACGGGGCCGCAACCGAGGGCGGCGACGGGCCGCAAGTGAGGGTGGCGAAGCCGCAACTGAGGGCGGCGGGGCCGCAAGTGAGGGCGGCGGGGCCGCAAGGGAGGCCGCTAGGGCGGCTCGACGAATGCAGAGAGGGGAGCGCGACTCGGGGAGCGCGCTCCGGGCACGAAAAAAAAAGTTCGATGTGGTGGGCCCTAGGCACAGTTCCCTTGAGGGAACCTGCTCGATACCATGAGAAACTTAGAACGAGAATGAATCACTAAGGAATGGAAGTGATACAAATATGCAACCCTAGAAAATGTGTACCCCATATGGGCTACCCCCCCACTATAGCCTACACAATATTATAATTTGACATATAGTGGGGTAGCACATATGGGGTACAGCTTTCTAGGGTTTGTACTTGTACCCAACTTTCCCTTAGTCATTTCATTCACGTTCAATTCCACATGGTATAGAGCACGTTCCCTCTGGGAACTGTTCCTAGGGACCACCGTTTTTATTTTCCTGCCCGGAGCGCGCTCAGCCTCTGCCCGAGTCGCGCTCCCCTCTCACAACTCCGTCGCGCCGCCCTTACGACCCCGTCGCGCCGCCCTTACGACCCCGTCGCGCCGCCTTCGCGGCCCCGTCGCGTCGCGCCTCCCTAGCGGCCCCGTCGAGTCGCCCTTGCGACCCCGTCGCGCCGCCCTCGCGGCCCCATCACGACGTGCCGCCCTCGCGGCCTCGTCGCGCCGCCCACGCGACCCCGTTCCGCCGCCCTCGCGGCCCCGTCGCGTCGCGCCGCCCTTGCGGCCCTTTCGCGCCGCCCTCGCGGCCTCTTCGAGCCGCCCTAGCGACCCCTCCAAGCCGCCCTCGTGGCCCCGTCGCCTACCCTTGCGGCCCCGGCGCCTACTCTCGCGGCCCCGTCGCCTACCCTGCGGCCCCGTCGCCTACCCTGCTGGCCCCGGCGCCTACCCTGCAGCCCCGGCGCCTATCCTGCGGCTCCGTCGCCTACCCCTGCGGCCCCGGCACCGCCCTTCCCAGCCCCGGCGCCGCCTCTGCTGGCCCCGTCGCCTACCCCTACGGCCCCGGCACCGCCCTTCCCGGCCCCGGCGCCGCCCTTCCCGGCCCCGGCGCCGCCTCTGCTGGCCCCGTCGCCTACCCTGCGGCCCCGGCGCTACCCTTCCCGGCCCCAGCGCTGCCTCTACCGGCCCCGCCGCCGTCCCCACGCGGCCCCGCCGTCCCCACCAAGCCGCCGGCGCCGCCGACCTACTGCCGAGCTGCCCGAGCCACCTGAGCCGCCCGAGCCGCCGCGCCACCTGAGCCGCCCGAGACGCCGGGTCGCTGAGCTGCCGAGCCGCTGTACCGCCGAGCCGCCGAGCCGCCAGCGCCGCCGAGTCGCCGAGCCGCAGTTGCTGCCGAGCCGCCCGAGCCGCCGAGCCGCCGAGCCGCCGAACCGCCGAGCCGCCCTGTCCGGTAAGAGCAACGCCTCTGTCACTGCACTGCCCTTACCCTACTGTTCGCGCTGCTAGTCTACTGCTGTCATGGCTACCCCTAGTGTCCTCGCTTTTGACGCTGAGGGTCGGGCCATTGACTTTGACGTCTGGGTAGATGACCTGCAGCTTTTCCTACAGTGCGATAGGGCAGACGGTCTCTCCCTCTTTGACCTCACTTCTGGTGCCTCTCCTGCCCCTGCTACTGATGCTGACGCCACAGTTCGCTCATAGTGGGCCACACGCGATGCTGCTGCACGTCTTGCTGTGCGTCGCCACCTGCCTACCTCTGAGCGTGCGCACTTTAGTCAGTACAAGAGTGCTCAGACCTTGTACGACGCTGTAGTTGCACGCTACTCCTCCCCTGCCACTGCTGCACTGAGCCGCCTCATGCTACCGTACCTCTTCCCTGACCTTGCTGCCTTTCCCACAGTCGCTGACCTCATTACGCACCTCCGAACTAGTGACACTCGCTACCGCGCTGCGCTTCCTGCTGAGTTCTGCGCCAAGAACCCCCCCCCCCCCCCCATGTACATCACCCTCTACTACATAGTCACCGGCTCCCTGACTCCCTTCGCGTAGTCACGGACCACTTCCTCTCAGTTTGCCCCACCACTCTCACCGTTGACCTCCTCGAGAAGGCCCTCCTAGCAGCAGAGAAGAGCATAGTCGCTGTAGGAGCCTCTCGTGGTGACCCTCGCACCCCCATCTTTGAGGGGTGTTCCCCCTCCCCTCTTTTGCCCTCTGTTGCCTCTGCTGCTGCGGCCGACCTCGTTGGTCTTGAGTCGGTCGGTGCGGCGTCTACCCCTAGCGGGAGACGCCGCCCTGGCAAGGGCAAGGGGGGCAGGGGCGCTGGAGGAGCTAGCGGGGGCGGTGGAGGCGGCGGTGGAGGCGGCGGAGGGGGTGGGAGTGGCGGTGGGGGTGGTGGCGGGGGTGGAGGTGTCGGTGGCGGCAGTGGAGGCGGAGGCGGCGGCGGTGGTGGCGGTGGGAGCGGAGGTGGCGGAGGTGGCGGCGGTGGAGGAGGCGGTGGCGGAGGAGGTGGAGCTGGTCGGGGTGGCGCTGCGCAGAGGGTCGGCTGCGGTGGTGGTCAGCGCCAGAAGCAGCACCAGCAGCAGCGCACTCGTGACATCCCCCCCCTCAGCAGCTCCGTGAGTGGTACGCTGCACGCCAGCGGGGTGGGGGTACTGGTCCGTGCACCTACGTCCTACGCACCGGCGACCGCGCGGGTGAGTAGTGCGGGGGTGCGCACTCCACCCAGCGCTGCTTTGGCCGCCTGAGGGACGCTTGGCGTCACCAGTTCCCGGAGGCCGCTTAGATCCCCCGCTGGGGCGAGCTGTCTAGGGCGGGAGTAGCTTTCTTTGACCTTGACTTTGATGCTATTCTTGCTGCCATGTATGCTGTGATGAGGGTGACTGTTACCGGTGTTTTCCGCCTGACCCGGGCGTTGAGACTGCTGCTCTAGGTACAGGTTGTCAGAATGTTATGCTCTAGCCTGTAGTGGGGTGCTCTATAGCGAGTACAACCATTCTAGGGTTTGCTATTTGTATCCTCATTCTTGCTAGTGCAACCCCCTCTTTTGCCTAAACTTTCTCTTGCCTAGCTAGGGCTTTCCTAGCTATGGCTCCTACTTCTGCCTATTACTTTCACACTGGTGAGGCTGCTGCTCTAGGTGCTAGCGAGGCTGCTGCTCTAGGTGCTCGTGCGTCTACTCCCTCAGGTGCTGGTGAGTCTGCTCTCTCAGGTACTGCGTCGGCTTCGGCCTCCCACACCTTCACCCTTGACTCGGGGGCTTCTTGCTCCTTCTTTCGAGACCGCACCATACTCACGCCGCTTGGCCGGCCAGTTGCAGTCTCTCTGGCAGACCCCTCCGGGGGTCCTGTCCTTTCTCACTTCTCCACCGTCCTCCCGTGTCCGGCGGCCCCCTCTGGCACCCTGTCTGGCCTTTACTTCCCCTCGTTCTCTACGAACTTGGTGAGTGGTGCGGACCTACAGGATGCGGGGGTTCACCAGTTCACTCCTGCGAGTCAGCGTGTGACCCACTGCACGGACGCTCGGACAGGCCGACACTTGGCCACGTTTACACGTCGGCCGGGGTCAGGCTGTACACACTGACCACTACGTCTCCTCCAGTCACTGCGTCTGGTCAGGTAGCTGCGTCGGGTCAGGTGTTTGCTGCAGCGTCCAGGTCTGGTCCTGAGTCTGCCCCCTGCTCGTGTCGCCTCCTGTCTCACGAGACTCTCCTCTGGCACCACCGTCTTGGTCACCCCTCCCTGCTTCATCTCCGAGGCATGGCCTCTCGTGTCCTTGTCTCTGGTCTTCCCCGGTCCCTCCCTCCCCTTCCTCCGGGGCCTAGCCCTACCTGCGTCCCCTGTGTCGAGGGGTGGCAGCGGGCTGCCCCTCACTCCTCCCAGTTTCCTCTGACAAAGGCCCCGCTGCAGACGCTTCACATGGACGTGTGGGGCCTGGCCCGCGTCCGTGGACAGGGTCACGAGCGCTACTTCCTGCTGGTGGTTGACGACTACCCGCGTTACACCACAGTCTTCCCCTTGCGCAGCAAGGGTGATGACACTGAGGTGTTGATCGACTAGATCCGCGCAGCTCGTCTCCAGCTCAGGCAGAGCTTCGGCTCGGACTTTCCTGTTCTGCGTCTGCACTCTGACAGAGGCGGAGAGTTCTCCTCTGGCCTTTTGCAAGCCTACTGTCGTGCACGAGGCATTCGTCAGACCTTCACGCTTCCGGACTCTCCACAGCAAAATGGGATTGCTGAGCGCCGCATTGGCATGGTCATGGACGTCGCCAGTACGTCCATGATGCATGCGGCTGCCCCCCATTTTCTATGGCCGTTTGCGGTTCGGTACGCGGCGCATCAGATCATCCTTCACCCCAGGGTCTCCATGCCGGAGACCTCCCCAGCTTTGCTGTGGACGGGGAAGGTTGGCGATGCGTCTGCGTTCCGTGTCTGGGGATCTCGGGCGTTTGTCCGCGACTTGTCTGCGGACAAGCTATCCCCTCGTGCTGCTCCTTGCGTCTTCCTTGGCTTCCCCCCTGACGCGCCAGGGTGGCAGTTCTACCACCCCACCTCTCGCCGTGTTCTGTCCTCCCAGGACGTCACGTTTGACGAGTCGGTCCCCTACTACCGCCTCTTCCCCTACCGCACTCCGTCCCTCCCCCCGTCACCGCTCTTCCTTGTGCCAGGTCCCCCCCCGGTAGACCCCCTCCCCCCTCAGGGTCCTGCCCCTTCAGGTGTGTCCCAGGTAGACGCAGTCGAGCCTGTCGAGGTTACTGGTGACTCTGGTGCTGCTGAGGGTGCTGAGCCTGGGGGTGCTGACTCTGGAGGTGCTGAGCGTGTGGGTGCTACGCCTGGGGGTGCTGAGCCTGAGGGTGCTACTACTGGGGGTGCTGAGCCTGGGGGTGCTGAGCCTGGGGGTGCTACCACTGAGGGTGCTGAGCCTGGGGGTGCTGAGCCTGGGGGTGCTATGCCTGGGGGTGCTGAGCCTGGGGGTGCTACGCCTGGAGGTGCTGAGCCTGGGGGTGCGGAGCCTGAGGGAGCTGGGCCTGCTCGTGTGGCGTCTGGCAGTGCTGGGCATGGAGGTTCTCCGGGTGCTTCGTCTCGGCGGGAGCCACTCTCTCCACAGGAGCTGCGCGAGTGGTTTGCCCGGCGCTGGAGGCGTGCTGCTGGAGCTAGAGGTTCTTCGGCTGCTGAGGGTGCTGGTGCCGCGGGTCCCGCAGGTGCTCGTACTGGGAGTACTGGAGCTGCTGGGCCTGCGGGTAAGACTGGAGCTGGAGCTGCTGAGGGTGTTGGCGCTGAGGCTACTGCTGTCGGTCCTGGAGGAGGTCCTGCTGGGGGTGCTACTGGTGCTGCTGGAGGTACTGGAGCTCGAGGTGCTGCTGGCGCTGGTGCTGCCGCTGGGGGTACTGGTGCTGTCCTTGCTGTGTCTTGAGTCGCCGCGCGGCCTCCGCCGTACTTCGTTCCGCTCCTTTAGCAGGTGCTTGGTCTCCCGCTATCTACTGGTCCTCCTCCTCCCTTAGAGTGTCCACAGCCTGTCCCGTCACAGTTACAGTTACAGCCGGCCTCCCCACTGCCTGCTCCTTCTCCCTACACTGGTCCTACTGGAGGTCTTTCTGAGCGTCGTGAGCTTGCGTCTCGCCCTGAGTTGCCTGTCCGTGCTGCTCGCACTAGTGGTCGCGGTTCGCGTCAGCGTCCTCCTCCTGTCCCTGGCATGCACCGGATGTCTCTGCGTCCGTCCACTGCTCCTCTGCGTGCCCCTTTGCCTTCTCCTCATGAGTCTTCTCTTCCTGCTCTTGCCGACCCGGAGTCGGAATCTCTTCGTGCTGCCAGTCCTACTGTCACGCGTCTCCTTGCTACTGTCGTCACTGAGTCCACTGCTGCGTCTGCCCTAGTTGCTGAGCTCGTCGACTTTGCTGCTCGCTGTCGTCTAGACTACGCTGCTAGTCTTGTCGCTGAGTCCGAGTCTGTCTGTCCTCCGTCCGTCGGGGGTGAGTGTGCTCTTGGCACGGACGTCCTTGAGGACAGGCAAGAGGAGTTCCAGTGTATGGCTGCTACTTCACCTCATCTCGTGTCCGTACTGCTTACCCCTGAGGGAGACCCGGATGCACTTGACATCCCGACTCCGCGCTCTTACGCGGAGGCCGTAGAGGGTCCTTACTCCTCTCAGTGGTAGGCAGCTATGGATGCAGAGATGGCTTCCTGGAAGTCCAGAGGCACCTACGTTGACGCGGTTCCCCCACCTGGGGCGAACATCGTCAGTGGCATGTGGATCTTCAGGGTGAAGCGGCCGCCAGGTTCTCCACCTGTCTTTAAGGCGCGGTACGTAGCTCATGGCTTCAGTCAGCGGCAGGGAGTTGACTACTTTCAGACCTTCTCTCCCACCCCGAAGATGACCACTCTTCGGGTGCTGCTGCACATAGCCGCTCAGCGCGACTACGAGCTTCACTCTCTTGACTTCAGCACAGCTTTCCTGCAGGGCAGCCTGCACGAGGAGATCTGGCTGCGCCGCCCACCTGGCTTCACTGGGTCGTTCCCTCCTGGTACCCAGTGGAGCCTCCGGCGGCAAGTCTACGGTCTCCGCCAGGCACCGCGTGAGTGGCACGACACACTGACGACTACACTTGCGGCTCTTGGGTTTGCTCCCTCCACTGCCAACCCGTCGCTGTTTCTGCGCACCGACACTTCTCTGCCGCCGTTCTACATCCTCGTGTACGTCGACGACTTGGTCTTTGCCACAGCTGACACTGCTGGACTCGCCCACGTGAAGTCCGAGCTGCAGAAGAGACACACGTGCACAGACCTGGGTGAACTGCGCAGCTACCTTGGCTTGCAGATCACCCGGGACAGAGCACGCCGCACCATTACCCTGACTCAGTCACACATGGTGTAGCAGGTCCTTCAGCGCTTCGGCTTCACGTACTCCTCGCCTCAGGCCACTCCTCTGCCTACTTGCCACTTGCTCTCAGCTCTGCCTTCGGATGAGTCCGTAGAGTCGAGTGGCCCGTACCCAGAGCTTGTTGGCTGCCTCATGTACCTGATGACCTGCACACGACCTGACCTTGCATACCCTCTTAGCATTCTAGCACGCTATGTTGCTCCTGGGAGACACAGACCGGAGCACATGGCTGCAACGAAGAGGGTGTTGCGCTACTTGTGCATTACGTCGGGCATGGGGCTTGTGCTTGGAGGGCAGAGTCCAGTGGTCCTCACTGGGCACGCAGACGCTTCTTGGGCTGACGACTAGGCTACGCAGCGGTCGTCACAGGGTTACACCTTCAGCCTTGGTTCCGGCTCTGTCTCGTGGCGGGCTACCCGCTCGTCTTCTGTTCTCGGCTCCAGTTGTGAGGCTGAGATCTACGCCGGGGCCATGGCTGCACAGGAGCTTCGCTTGCTCACCTACCTGCTGACTGACCTCGGAGAGCCGCCTCGTTCTCCTCCAGTGCTGTACGTAGACAACAAGGCCATGCTGGCCTTGTGTCGAGAGCAGAGACTGGAGCACTGAACGAAGCACATTGCTCTCCGCTACTTCCTTGCTCGTGAGCTATAGCAGCGTGGTCAGCTGCGCCTTGCGTACGTGGCCTCTAAGGCCAACACTGCTGATATCTTCACCAAGGCACTTGCGCCTTGTGATCATCAGCGCTTCTGTACTAAGCTGGGTCTTGTGCCTACCTTGCCTCACTTGCTCACCCCTTGACCTTGTTTGCACTGTTGCATATATATATGCACCTGCTCTTGCTTGTCTAGCCTTGTATATATATGTAATCCTGCATGTGAACTGGCCTTGTGGCCTTGAACTTCTGCTCGGAATGTGTGGTGACTTTGTGATCCACCCTGAGCTTGCTTTGCTTTGCTTGACTAGTCTTGTGACCCCTTGTTCTCCCCCACTTTGCCTATGGGGGTGTGTCAGATTTATATGACATAGCTACTGTAGGCTATAGTGGGGTAGCACATATGAGGTACAGCTTTCTAGGGCTTGTTCTTGTACCCAACTTTCCCTTAGTCATTTCATTCTCGTTCAATTCCACAAATTCGGTGGCAACCGGAAAGCCAGAATTCGGTGCACGCAACCTAGCTCGGTGCTATAACTATAATAAAATATAGGAAAGCACCTAGCCTAGGAAATCCTGCAATTCATGCATGCATATAATTATCCTATGCTAGAAATAGCATCATAAAGTAAAGGCAAGCAAGCATAGCTGGCATAAGCCGTCGTACTCTCACACGTCCCCCCCTCAAAGCTGGGTGGCGTGAGAAACACCCTGCTTGAGAAGATAGTTCTTGAGAGCACGGCGTGCGTTGCCCATATCAGCTTCTGCAACCCAACTATCCTTAGTGGGGTCGTATCCCTTCCAGCGTTTCAGGAACTCGAGGGTCTTGCCGCCGCGGTGCCGATGAGTGAGAACGCGCTCCACTTCGTACTCTGGTTCAACCTGTACGAGAACCGGTGGTGGTGGCGGTAGCTGCCGTCCCTGGAACTGTTGGTTGGGGTCCTTGTAGGGCTTCAGTAGCTGAACATGGAAAGTGTTGTGAAGCTTCCATGTATTTGGTAAGCGCAAGCGGAATGTAACTGGTGTCACCTGTGCCTCAACGAGAAAAGGACCACAGAAGCGAGGCCGGAGCTTGGATGGGAGGTGAGACAGGTTCAAGTTGTGTGTGTCAAGGAGCACCTGATCTCTGACTGCTACTGAGTGATCTCGTCGCTGACGATCGGCATACTGCTTCTGGGAGTTCTGCATCGTGGTGAGACGTCGTTGAGTCTTCTCCCATAGCTGCTGCATGGTGGTGATGAAGTCATGTGCGGCTTGGACGTGTGCCGGTGTGGTTGGCTGCTGTGGTGTGAGTGGTTCCCGTCCGTAACACAGGAAGAAAGGATTTTTTCCTGTGGCCGCATGTGACGCGTTGTTGTAAGCGAACTCTAGGGTCGGTAACTGTGTGTCCCAGTGGGTGACGACGTCTTTGCAAGCTGTGCGCAATAAGTGTTCAACCACCTGATTGAGTCGCTCGGTCTGTCCGTCAGTCTGTGAGTGGTATGCTAAGGACATCGCAAGTTTAGTCCCCAATAATCCCATGAGCTCCTTCCAGAACTTACTCGTAAATTTGGGGTCTCTGTCTGAGATGAGTGTAGCAGGGATGCCGTGGATGGTGATGATGTGGTCAAAGAAGAGGCGAGTAGTTGCTTCAGCTGTGGCTGTGGCGTTGGTCGGTATGAGGTGACGAATTGCTGCACGTCTGCTGCCATCCCGGGCCAGTTAGTTATTCTTCGCTATCCCTGCTAACGTCTTGTTGCTCCCGAAATGTCCCGCGTATGGTACGTCGTGAAACTCCTCCAATAGGATCTGCCGTAGCGGGGCGTAATTCGGTACCCAAATCGTTCCTGAACCCTTCCTTACAGCTAAGTCCTTCTTCCACTGTAACAGCTTCTTACTGAGGTAGGCGATGGGCTGCAAACTGCGTTCGTGATGCTGCATCAGTACTGCCCCGACTGCTTGGTCACTAGCGTCTGCTTCCACCACGTAGTCTCTGTCTGGATCCGGTAGGATGAGTACTGGCGCTGTAGTCAGTGCTGTCTGTTTGTTTAGTGCGCGGTAGACGATGCACATCCGTAACTACCGTCTAGCTTTGGAGTGAGAAGAACTGGTGCACCGTAGGGAGAGGTGGATGGGCGGATCAGTTGTCTGTCCAGTAGATACTCTTTCTGTTTTTTCATGTCTATCAGTTCAGTCGGACTCAGTCGGTATGGTGCACGTGAGACGGGTTTCGCACCTGGTTCCTCCACGATCTTGTGCTCGTGGGTGCGTGCTGGAGGTACGCCTGCGGGTAGGTCGTCGGGCATCATATCCTTGTACTGCTCCAAGACCTCCTCCTCTGCTGCTAGCCATAACCAGTGCTAAGTAACCCGTGTTACTCTCGTTCACTGTCCGTTCGAACCGTGCCAGTGTCGTTTCAGGAACGCTCCCTGTATCCATCCAGCTTCGCAGCTCCACTCGTTTCCCGTTGTTGTAGATGCACGTTTTCCGGTTGACCCAGTCGATCTCGGGGTTGAACCGCTTCTGAAAATCTCGCCCCAAGATGAAATCTAATCCCTTGATGTTCGTGATCGCAACGTCGGCTTCCACCTCAACGCCCCTATCTGCAGCTGCAGTGTTGACTTGCCGTGGATGGGAAGCTTCGTACCGTCCACCATCGTTGTTGTAAACTGGGGTTTCTTCTGAGGATTCTCCAATTTTCTCCAACGTCCCGCGGTCGCACACCGAGTGGGACGCACCACTGTCCACCAGGGCCTGGAGGCGACGCCCGTTGCAGATCACCTCGAGTACTAGTGGTTGCTGCTGCTCCGAGTATCCGTAAGATGGTATCGCTTATAGGATCGTAGGTACGTCGAATATGTTTTCCCTAGGTCCTGCGCTCGAAGATGTAGCTTCAGTATCAGTTTTCAACTGAGAAAGGTTAGAAGGATTTATCCGAGGCCGATTTGGTTTTCTTGGGCCTGGAACCTTCCACTAAGCCTTTGCAGCTGTGTAGGCTTCATCTGTGGGGAACAGGGAGCCTTTAAACAGTGCTGCTGGGAGAGAATATTAACTCCTCGGAAGTAGGGTCCCCATAATACACCGAGGTACCGGTTTAATTTCTGACTCTCCCTTAATAAAGGCTTGAAACCCACGGGGTATACGGCTGGAGTTTCCCGGTCGGTGCCTGGGTCTTGTTTCGCGGATCCTCCGTTAGTCGCGGCGACTTTCCCCTGGTGCCGGCTGGTCGTGACATTTTAAATTTGCGCCACCATATTCTCCTTTTTTTCGCCCTCTCCGAAGTTGCCACGTTGTCCGTTTTCTGCTTCGGGGGTGCCGCACTGTTCTTGTCCTTCAGCTCCGCACACCTTCTCTTCATTTTCCAACACGCCAGATACGATGTCCTGTAGCGCGCAAAATTTGCACGTCTCATTATTGCTAGCCGCTGCTCCACATCGCCCTCGTCGTTCTCCATCGGGTCGGCAGTCGTGGGTGGTGCCAATCGCCCCATGCCAATAGTTGGCTTGTTGCGTCGTGTTCCGTAGTAGCTACTGTTCAACGTGTCGAGCTGTTCGATCAGTGCTGCCGGAAATTGCGCCCACGTCCCCTCGCCTTGGACTATTCTGTTGTTGATCCACTCTAGAGCTGGGCCTCGTAAAAGTGTTGGTGCGAGCCGTATGCGCATTGCGTCTTTTGTCGGGGTCGTGCATCCAACAGCTTCGAAGTAAATTTCGAGTTCAGCTACAAATCGACGAACGTCGTTCCTTTTTACTGTAGGATCGAACGCCTCCGGTAGCCTCGGCTTCACTTCCTCGAGGTTAACTGTAGCTGCTGCCGTTGTCGCATGTAGAATTGTCGGTGTTGCCGCTGCTGCAGCTACTACTGTTGTCGCTGCTGCTGTGGCGGTTGCCGACTGGTTCGCAAGGAGTTTTTCGAGTCGTGGGAGCGGCGCATGTATTTGCTTATGCTCAGCACGTAACTCCGCGATTTTCTGTACTGAAATATCTCCTTTTCCCTCCATTTGGCGATTTACAGGAAGATGCGCGACGAAAATAATCGAATTCTAGGTGCTGGTCGACTTACTGCGAGTCAAGTTGACTATAGGATCGACGAGCGCGAATTCTGTAGGTCGCGTAAATCTCTCCAAGCAAAATTCGTGTCCGATCTTGGCCGTGGAGGAGAAAATTTATCCGACGGTCCAAATTCCAACTTGTTTGGGTGAAATTCTCAGGGCCGTTGAGATGAAACTCGATCGAACGGTCGAAAACTCCAAACATTTCCACCAATAAATCTGAGGGTGTTCGAAAACCGAATCGAGGGGGACTTAGAAAAATTGCGCGGAACTGGTTTTACAGACCCATATCGGCGCTTTCGTCGTCGCCCC